TCCGCCCGCCCACCCGCCTTCCATTTTTTAACCATAAATAATACTTAACAAATTTTTTACAATCTAGACTAAATTGGCATTTGTACATTTGGAGATCATGCAAATGCAATGTTGTTAAATAATGTGTTACATGCACCCGATTTAAAATATTAATACGTTTATTAGAAAATTTATTACTAAATCATTGTTGCACCTTCTCTCTGTTTATAAAATTATATGACAAAAAGGGCCATTCATTCGGAACTCTTTAAAAGTAATGTAAATATCAAACACGTGCATTGCCTTATTCGTACAACAACCGTTAACGGATATTTGTAGCTCCTTTGTAATTCAACTTTTTCAATTATTAAAATTTTGAGTAAATTTCACCATGCCACTAAGCAAATCCGGGTTTGAATATTCTGAAAACTTTTCCTACACTAAGTTATCAAGTGATGCTACTGAGTTTAAATACGATTTCGAGTACCCTAAGTGGTCGACGGGAGACGAGGAAAATGATTGTTCGTACAGCTATACGAAGTGGTCGACGAGTGGGGCTGATGGCGAATCTCTCATCTTGAAACCTGTAAGTATCTGTTAACTTTATACTGGAAATTTAGCTTTCTTTACCTAATTTGGTTCATCTGAGGCCGGTCCTTCTATAGATAGTGGACGTGTAGTTCACGTACTTTGGAGGACGATTATTTGGCCGCTAGATGTCTCCCGTGAGTTATTCATGGACGGACAGAGTTTCTCACGCCACACTGTATCTGGATCATTAGCCGTGCATTAGCCGTACTGTGGCCATGATTTATTTGAGAAAAGGTGGCAGCACTAATCAAAGTAGCTTTCTGATTTCATTTCATAANCCCACCTATCAATTTTGTACATGACCATTTATTTTTCAGCAAAATTATTATTTTTTTTTTTGTTATTAGGGACATAAATCGTTCACTAAGATAGACCCATTTATTCTGCAGTGAACCGAATAGCTTTCTTTTGGTTTTCGTACAGGTTCGTGCGATGTTGCAGCTTAAGGTCGGACACTTGTGGTAATCGCATTTACACAGTACTTAATTCCTCTGTACCTAGGACGTCGTATGTTTGCAAAAAGCACGTATGCCAAATTCAGGCTCTGACTCAATTGATCCGTTCTTATTTTTTAGCAGAGTATTGTAGACTGCTTCCAGCAGTATGACGAGTCATCAGCGACCCTACCTGTACTTGACGGAGAGATTGTGAATAAATCTACAGATAGTATTGTGCCAATTTGGGATGTTTCTATAAACGCTGATTCCACTCTCAAGGCCTCTGCTCAGCACCAAACCTCTGGTAGTAATCTGAAGAAGTGTACCTCTGGTTTAGGGTCAACTTGGAGCTCTGATAGTTCCGAGGTCTTCAAGACAAATGCATACTCACCCTCTGCTATTCCTTGGACTCGGCGTTCAAGCACAGAGAGTCCTGATCCAACTTGGATAGAGGCTAATCCTGGAGATGCCGTAGGCCGGGACAGTCCTGCTCCAGCTTGGGATACAAACCCTTCTGATTGGAAGGAGGACGCATCTATGAAACTTGCAGAGAAGTTGTTTCAATTCAGGATAGAGGTAAAATAAATGCCAAGGAAATGATTAATGGAGAATTTATCTTCACCACTTGTTTTAGTTATAAAGAATACATACTTCATCTGGAGGATTTGGCATATTTATAAAAACTTGTATGCACTACGTTTTTATGGATTGCAATGTTATGGTTTTCATTTAGAACGAGGAGACTGGAAGTGAAGGAACCTATTCCAACCCAAGGTTCAAGACAGAGTTTTGCCGGAATTTCAGGGAGAAGGGAACCTGTTTGTACGGGGATCAATGCCAGTTTGCACATGGCAAAACAGAGCTTCGTGTAAGATTTCTATTTTTGATTCATCAATTATTCAATTCTTTGTAGATTTGTTTTAAGTTCTTCTGCCACTTCTTTTTCTTCAGCGCACTTTGAACGACTGGAGACTTCTCAAAATTTCCAAAAAATATTTAAAGTGGATCCATAGTTTAATTAAAGCATTTTGACTTCTTTGTTTCTAGCAAGATATTGTGCGGCACAGCAAGTACAAGACCAAGTTTTGTCAAAAGTTCTGGATTGGTGGATGGTGTGTTTACGGACCCAGGTCAAAATTTTTATTAATTGGTATTTTGTCGCAGAATTTCGGTTAAGGAATTTGGGAGTGTTTTTAGGTCTTAAAGGACGTTCTTTGAGTTTTTAACTCTTAAATTCTGCTTTCTTTTTAAATTAAGAGGGCTTCGTCCGATTCTCAACAAGTCCATAGGTGGAAAGGGTAGTAAGGTTACTCTTCAAGTTCTTTTCTCTATGGCCAAAACTTGTTTTTACTCCCAAAATATAAATGTTTCAAAGCGATTAGCTGAAAGTCTTACAATTTGTCTCACAAAGTATAGTTTACAATTGTGTATCGGCCTTTAAACGCTCAAACTATTTAGATGCAACTTTATTCATCTGGAAGAGGAGGCTGCGGCTGCATACAAGACTGATACTGTTCCAACTGCGGGAGGATTGAGGTAAGAATTAATATTTGAATTCAAATAATTGTACATTTGGGTCATTAGTGTTAAAAATAAGGTTTTGCTTCTTTGATGGCTTTTAAGGTTTTTGCTGAAACCACCTATTTTATTTAGGCCGTTCCAGCTTCAGTTACGTAAGAATTCTGAATCAAGTACCGACTCGGGGATTGAAACTTTTTCTTATCCTCCCCCTGATCATGCGTCCAGGAAGTTTAACAAGATCTCAAGTCCTCTTCCAACCAGGATGCAGGTGGGTCATTAAACAATGGCAAATAAATCAAAATAATTTAATGTTTCGCCGCAAATTCTTAAATTCTTTATCCCTTCCCACCTTTGAAGATGAACTTGGATTGAAGTTGAGAAATGAGATCTTGCGGTCAACTTTTAGTTTCCGATTTTTCCTTCAGGTATCCGAGAACAGTGTTTCCAATGCTCAGAATGAGAACTATGTCCTGAATGCAAGGAACAACTACAGACGAGAAATCAATGAGGGTAAGTTTAAGCATTTTTTTATATAAAAGTTTCATGTCTTTTCATCTAATTTTTTAAGGATGTGCTCTTTCTGAGCGCGAGAAGTTAATTGAGCTTGTGGAGGCTCTGAAGCTTATTGAGCGTACTGACCTGGGCAGAAATCTTCTGGGGCAAAGTGACTTGGCCCGACAACTGCTGGGGACAAGTGACTTGGGACGAAGGACAGGTCAGGGGCTGAGATTTCCTGGGACCGGACTTCCTCAGGATAGGAAACTTATCGTGCATCCTGAACACAACCCTATCCTGGTCTCAGCACCTGCCTTTGACACATGGTGAGTCTATTTGTAAAGATTATCATACCTCAATGTTAAAATTTTTTAATGTTCCGACTTTTTGAGAACTTATCACATAGCTAGGATTATTTTTTGTCTAGTACTGGTTTTTCTGTCAATTTCTTATTTAGGAAAAAGGGGGGGGGGGGAATACTGTTAAGATAAACGTAATATTTAATGTAAAGGGCTAATGTATTTTTTTACAGGTCGACCCCGCAGTTTTTTACGTAATGACGGACGTAGATGACAGCGTTATATCTTAAGAACGCATAGCTTGACCCTTGAGCACATATTGTATTTATTTCTAAGTTAAGTTTGCTAATTATTTCATGTTTGTAACGATGATAATTTAATATTGTATTAATTATTTTTGACCAATAAACGCTTATTATTAATCTAATTTAGATTCCTTACGATTATATGTCGATGGCAAGTTATTTGGAAGGAAAGTATCTTCAACTAAGTTGATTTAATATTAGTCTATGAAATGAAGATTCCTGGAAAAGTAATAATAATTTAGGTAACCTTAGTCCTTGATTTGAAGGGAAAATTTTCCTAGAATTTGATAACTTTATTCTCATCTGATGGACAGTTTCTCTGTATGTTTGATGATCGATAAAGGAGACGTGTTAAGTTGTCTACGAATGTATTTATGGTAGTAAAGGTCTCGGGTGTAAATATTAAGTTTTCTTGAATCTTGGAATTAAATGTTAAGAATTTTTTTAAACTAACGAAAGAATACAATTCTGTTCACCTATAAATATGTCCAAATCTTAAAATTTGAGAAAGGGGTTTATTAATCTTTGAATTTAGTGACTATTTTGATAACTTATTTGTAAATGATTTTTGACAGTTTAGTGATCCCTACTAAGAATGCTAAAATTCGTCTGCTATAGTTCAGAATTTTTTGTTTTTGTATTTCTAGCATACTGTGGTGGTGGTAATATCAGAAATTCGTGCAATCGCACACGGTCCAGTTGTTTTTCTTTACTACACCTCGCAGAAATGTTGCAGAACATCATGTAATGTTGTAGAAAATAATATAACAGTCCGTCTACATCAAATATACTCGGAGCAGACGTATAACTATATTTTGACTACTGAAATTAGGTAACCATGCTAATTTTTTGCAAAGACTACTTCGAATATTCGTCTCTTAATCCCCATGATTATTGGAACGCTTGTACCTTATATCTCGGGAATAATTTAACTAACGAAGAAAATAATATATTTGACTTCTATATATTAATTTGGCTTGTCTGTTTGTTTGTATCCCATAAACGTTAAATCGGCTGAACCAATCGGGCCCAGATTTTTTGTGGGACATCACATGACCACAGGGAAGGTTTACGAATGATAAAAATTAAAAAATGTGTTTTGAAGGGTTTTAATTTTGTAAAAATATTTAAATTGTAAATCCGCGATTTTTATAAAAATCCGCAAAAATTTGTTCTTTGTATCAAAATGTTAACAATTCTGACAGAAGAGGAGCGCGAAGCGCCCTAAACGCCTAGTATCTTATTTTTATTTGCAGATTCTTGAAATAAGCATACAAATATTGTATTAACTTTAGGAGCTCAAAATGGGCCTCAAGGTTGGTCCTGAAGTATATAATACCAGTAATACCAGTGAAGGGTCGATAGTTGATCTAAAGTTAATAATACCAGTGAAGGGTCGGTAGTTGATCTAAGGTTGATAATACTAGTGATCTAAGGTTGATAATACCAGTGAAGGGTAGATAGGTTGAACTAAGGTTGACCATCCTAGTAAAGGGTCGATAGTTGAAAGGTTGATAGTTGATCTAAGGTTGATTATCCTAGTGAAGGGTTGCTAGTTGATCTAAGGTTGTTGACAATGACATCCCCTCTTTTCACCACACTTCCATATTTGCAAACACAGAAAATCTGTATATTTCAATTCAAACCTAGGAAAAAGTACAGATAAATAAACAAATACAAAATGTATAAGATGGCCATGCTTGATTTACAACGGTGCCCTTGAAACGTTACGTACATTTTTGTGGACGATATTACCATTTTCTATTTAAAGTATTAAATTCATAATTCCTATATGCTTTATACAGGGTGTCCCGCGAAACATGACAGTTCGTAAATAATTTAAATGTCTTTTCCATAATTACTTAAGTTGTTTAATACCAAAGAGAATTAAAATAATATTTAATGGTAGTCTTATTATAGTAAAATTGATTTTAAAGTAAAATACATATTTTTTTTTTAAAATTCTATTGAACGAAACAAATGCAAAAAGTCTTTAATATCTATTACAGTAAAGCATACTTTAAGCTGCGCTCACAGTCCCAATATATATAATCGTTAACTTTATTTAGCAAAGACGAAGCAAGTTTAGAGTTTCAGGGAATCAAGATTGTTATTTCTGCAGTCATCTCCATAAACCAAAATATAGTATTTAGCCCGGTTCATAGATCGAGCTGTAGCTATGACTTGACAGCTGAGCTGTAGCTAGTTAAAGCTGTCTGAGTTTTCTAGTCAATGAACGCACCTAGATCAGACCTTAGGTGTGACTTCAAATCGTAGCAAAATTTCAGCTGATCCAAATCATACCTCAGCTAGGATTTAGCTCCGACTTCACAGATAAAGAGATCGCTTTTTGTGCAAATGCCCAGTAAGATTTCAATTTAAGCTGTCAAATTGCTATGACTTCGCAGCTTGGATTACAGCTTAGCTGCGACTCGAAGTCACAGCTATCAAATGCTATGACTTGAGACTAATGAACGAGGTGTGATCCAATTTTGAGATCAGAGCTCAGAGCTATGTCCGGAAATCATAGTCGTAGTTACAGCAAGTTACAGCTTGTTCTATGAACCGGGCATTTATATCGAAAAAAAATGTTTAGATTGAGAGGAGGAGAACTTTTTGACTTCATCGCAGACCGTGAGAGACTATCGGAGGAGGAGGCCAGCCATTTCATCAAACAGATTCTACTAGGTAATTACATAAAGGAAATTGTTTAACTTTAGAAAAATGGGTTACCTAAAATACATGAGACAGTAAAGACGACCTCAAACTATTTATTATTGACGATTCCGAATTTAAATTAAGTATTCTGCCTTGAATAAAATCTTATGACTTACGCAATGGTTAGGCAAAGAAAGAAACAAGTTTACAGTTAAAGGGAATCATAAATGAAAGGAAACAGACTTCTGAGACCGGATATATTCTTTACAATCGTCTCTGAAGTCTCGTCCGTTGTGGGTATCCCTGTAACTTTTTTTATTTTTATGTTTAAATTAAAAAACAAATTTAAACAGAATTTTCAAGAAATCTGAACCAATTAAGTTTTTTATCTTATTATAAAAACTTTAATAACTTAAAAATTGAAATATTAAAGCAAGTGCAATTTTTTTCGATGAAAGACATTTTGGGATTTAATTTTTTGAATAATTGACGTACAAGGATTATCAAAAGAACAAAAATCCCTTATACACTACCTTCAATTGGCTTAGAAGAACTGTTCACGTTTTTAATGGTGCTGGAAAAATTTTTCAATTTTGTTTTTATTTTTGTGCGGGATTGGATATTGATTATTGAATAAGAATTAAGAGTATTAGAGGGACTTTTATCGTAATTTCAAGGAACCCCTTATTCAAAGGGGTATGTCTGATTGACAACGGTGCTCTTAAAACCTTAATCTGATCAATAATGTGGCAGATAACGTCGTTTTAATGTCTTGAGAAGTGTCTTGATTGTGATAATTTCTGCATTGTTTCTGGAGCAAAAAATCACAAGTTGCAGAATTTGTAAAGAAACTTCTAATGAAAATAAACCGTTGTTAAAAACAAAAATGGCACTGTTGTGAATTTAACATGACACTCTATCAATGGAAATTGTCTTGAAATTACACTGACAGTCCCTCTATAACCTGAGATAGGTTTAATAATTAGTATTATTCAAAAATTAACTTAATTAATATCTTTACATTAGAATCCTTTTACAGAATTAAGTCTTTATCACAAACGTAAATTTTCTAATTCTTAAATCTTTAATCTTTCAAACATGGATCATTTGATCTAACAGAATTCACAAGGTCATGTATAAGGTCTATGACATTGGGCTGCAAAGGTATAGGGATTAGAAAATCGTAGTTTGTAGCAAAGACTAATTTCTTTCCTCGGAGTAGTATTTAAAACCTCTTCTAAAGAACTCCGAAATTCTCTTGTTTTAGGAGTTCAGCATCTTCACACTCATAATGTTGCGCATCTGGATCATAGGTTAGAATAGGTTAGAATAGGTTAGAATAGGTTAGAATAGGTTAGAATAGGTTAGAATAGGTGGAATAGGTTAAACTTAAAAGCGTAAGATTTGTCTAAAAAAGGAGTTTACAGGCAGTAATAAAAAAACCTACCCCTACTCTGACTCTTTAACACATGGGGGTTAACGTTTACAGTCAGTTCTTAACAAAATTTGTATCTGTGTTTTATCTCGGGTTTATCTAGGCTGTAACAATCTTTTCGTAGATTTGATTTCTTAACCTTATCTCGATATTTAATTAACCTTTGGTAGGTTCCTTTTTAATACATCGTCCTATTTCCTCATGGTATAGGGGTTCATAATCCTTTAAACCCCCCCCCCTGAACCCCACCCCAACGCGGTCCTAGTAAATTTAGGGTTAAACTTAATGTTATAACATAAAAATAATAATAATGATAATGATAATAATAATAATAATGAAAAGAGGAAAAACCTTAAAATTAACGAGACATTTTCCACCCCTCCTTCGCCTTTTATCTAAGTTTGATAAATTGGTTCATTCCTTGGGATTGGTGAGGGAATCTAGGTACCCTCGAACACTGGCCTGGGTTCAAACCTATAATTGATAAAAGATTAATTATAGGTTCCGAGCTAGGACGGTTTGATCGGCGCTCCGGTAGTGGAGAATTACTAGCTCACGAGCTCACTAGAATACAGGGTTTATTTCTAATTAATTGGACGGGAAATTGATGGTTAGGAATCATGTTCGGTTGATGTATGGTTCTAACGTGGGGTTTAAAGGGACTGTTAGAATAAATGGTAACAATATGTTCGGTTGATGTATGGTTCTAACGTGGGGTTTAAAGGGACTGTTACAATTAATGTTAACAATATGTTCGGTTGTTTTGTCACGGGATCCTAAAAGGCTAGTTCAAGGAATTGTTAAACTCAATAATTTTCATATACAGGGTGTCCCACGAAACATGACAATAGCAAGACGACTTGAAAGTCGTCTTTGGTATTTGAATTTATTTGTGACATTTAGTCTTCTATCTACTTTAACATGTATGATTCTTGAAACCATTATCACATAATTCTCCTAGCCCTGGCATTTCCAAAAAGTGGTCTGCGTTTTTTGCGCTTTCAATATTACCGGAAATATAAAGAGTTTGGTTCAGATTTCAATTTTGTTAAATAAAAGCAAAATTGTCGAAATCTGAACGAAATTCTTCATATCTCGGGCAATATTGAAAGCACAAAAATGGCAGACCACATTTTGGAAATGGCAGGACAAGGGAAATTTTGTGATTATTATCTCTAGAAATTTACTTCTAAAATTAGGTTGACAAATAAACGCAGCAAATTATATCAAAAATCAAGACGACATTCAAGTCGTTCTGCATACTGTCATGTTTCGTGGGACACCCTGTACATCACGTACTGTTCTTATAATTTTTAAATGGTGTTTTAGTTAGATAAATTACATTTCTTTGATAGAGATAAAAAAAACATGAAAGCCATATCAAAATTATGGATATTTGAAAATCACAATTTTGATGTATCATCAAAAAAGATCTTGCATATAAGGAAAAAAAGGAACACTTTTTTGAAATTAATGGTTTGGACAAATGCATGGTTACAACTTTAAGGAGCATATATTAAAACATAAAAGTTGAACCGTTGTGTACCCGTCTACAAGGTTAAGTCCAGACGCCTGTCTCAGGCCTGTATGCTTGTAAGTCTGGAAGATTTGTGTGATGAGTTTGACCCTTTCAAGTTCAGTATAATGACCTGGAATATTTAATAGGTTAGCAGAACACACGCAGTCTTAAACATACAAACTATACATTAGGCAGAGAGCTACAGTAAACATGGGTGTTATGGGAAAACAAATCTCAATTGGTCTTTCATTGATCCGGCATTCATTTTTGAGAAAATTTTTCTTTAAGGGACCCTCCATTTGTAGACTGGCATGTCTGATTTGGGAAACTTGACTGTACACGTGGTACAGGCCCATTAAAAAAAAATATTTTTTTGTTAATGTCATTTTGCAGTTTTTAGACGGTAAAAACAAAGATATCTCTGTCGTTTTTTTTTAAACGTCAAACTAAAAGTGTCGGGTAAATGTTTTATGTTAGGTCGTCTTCAAAATAATTGCATTTTTATTACCTATATTTCTCTACACACATATACAAGATGTGCGGTAATATGAACCTAGCTCCAATATTCAATTCTTCTGAAGAGCGTAGAACTATTAGATTGTGGAGAGGTTGGGTAAGATAGCTCCTATTAAATGAATAGCTAGGTATTATGAAAATGACCCTAATATCGTCTGCTGAAAGATTATTATCGAACGTGACGAGATAAATATCTTTTCTTTATATTTATCAAACTGAAAGATCCCATGGAAGAACCAATTAAGTTGAATTTTATTTTATTTTTAAATGATTATTTTTAAAATTTTGAATAATTCTATTCATCCCTGGTAAGTGTAGTCCGTGTGGTCTTTAAATATTGCTTCTGGGGAGGGGGGAGTGGGGGGGGGGGGTTGAACCCATGACCCATAAAACTGGAATAGGAAGACAACATTTTAGAAAAACGACAATTTAGCGATGATAAATTTTTTATTTTTACCATTAGCTTAAAAATCAACTTGTACCATTGTTGCGATCAAAATGTTCATTGCATGGACTATTCAAAATCATAACTTGTATCGTATTCTACTGTGTCCAATTATAAAGGAGTAAATGTTTTTGGATGAATTTGGCACAGAGGGTTTGAACTCTTGGGGAAGATAAAAAATACCATGAAGTTTAAATGGAATGCAATGTTAGAATTAATTTTTTGTATAAGTTTTAAAAAGGATGATGATAGGATGAATATATTGACATGTTGAGTAAATCAAGTTTTTATCCCTCCCATCCTAGAACTCTGTCCAGGGTTTCAAATATTCACTAGACGTGTCAGATCTCATCATTCTTCATAATTCTAGCTGTGAATCAGCGATTATGTAAAATAAGCTGAATCCCGTGGAGCAGGAGGAAAAAAAATATCCTCATTCTACCCTCCCACCCCCCGGCCCCCTGCATCCCAACGGTTCCCCTTTTATCATTTGAAGACTTCATTTCTAAGCCTTCCCGACCTTCGTGCTGCATTTATACATAGTTTGGTATGCTGAGAATCATACACTATACGTGGTGAAATCATGTAGATTGACAATTTTATGTTTATTTGTCTGCTTACAAAATCTTACTATTAATATGCATGCTGATGCTGATGTTTGTCATTCTCTGTATTCAGATTTTATCTATCCTAATCTGTAACATTATTTTGGAATCTGCACCCTCTTCGGATCTATGTAATATGTATGCCACTTTATCATCCCAGATCCATAATTCTACACCCCACCTTTTAAACTCTGCATACTGCTTTTTATCTGTACATCATTCTGCATGCTGCACAGAGCACACCTCTCCTTAACCATGCATGCTACTTTTATCTTTCCAAATCTTCCCATCATTCTGGATGTTGCTTGTCAATTTCTATGTATGCCACTGCCCACTAATCTTTCTAAATCTGTTCATTATTCTACATTAATACAGACCCGATTCAAATTTTACATCCTGCTTTTAATATTAAAATCTATCCATCATTCTGCATGCTGCAAACCCCTTAAAAACTTTGTATGCAATCTTATCTACCAAAATCCATAATTCTGCACCCCCCTCCCTTCCAAACTCTTGCATACTGCCTTTTTTTAACCTGTTTATAATTCTGCATGTTGCACAGAGCACAGCACACCCCTCCTGAAACATGCATGACAATTTTATCATTCCAAAACTGCCCATAATTGTGCATTCTGCTCACCCCTTCCAAACTTCGCATGCCGCGTTATGCCGAAGTAGATGAGTGTGGGAGAATATTTGTTTGTTGTCTGTGAATAGTATCTAGGCGAAAATACATTTGAAAAGAAATCAATTAGTGAGAAAAACATCTTTTGATGTTTTGCTGTAGGGGCAACTAAAAATATACTAGATATGTTTTGCTGCAGGGGCAACTAGAAATATACAGATATGTTTTGCTGTAGGGGCAACTAGAAATATACCAGATATGTTTTGCTGTTGGGGCAACTAGAAATATACTAGATATGTTTTGCTGCAGGGGCAACTAGAAATATACTAGATATATTTTGCTGCAGGGGCAACTAGAAATATGCTAGATATGTTTTGCTGCACGGGAAACTAGAAATATACAGATATGTTTTTCTGTAGGGGCAACTAGAAATATAAAGATATGTTTTGCTGTAGGGGCAACTAGAAATATACTAGATATGTTTTGCTGCAGGGGCAACCAGAAATATACAGATATGCTTTGCTGCAGGGGCAACTAGAAATATACAGATATGTTTTGCTGTAGGGGCAACTAGAAATATAAAGATATGTTTTGCTGTAGGGGCAACTAGAAATATACAGATATATGTTTTGTTGTAGGGACAACTAGAAATATACAGATATATGTTTTGTTGTAGGGGTAACTAGAAATATACAGATATGTTTTGCTGCAGGGGCAACTAGAAATATACAGATATATTTTGCTGTAGGGGCAACTAGAAATATACAGATATGTTTTGCTGTAGGGGCAACTAGAAATATACAGATATATGTTTTGTTGTAGGGGCAACTAGAAATATACAGATATATTTTGCTGCAGGGGAAACTAGAAATATACAGATATGTTTTGCTGCAGGGGCAACTAGAAATATACAGATATGTTTTGCTGCAGGGCAACTAGAAATATACTGGATACTTCTGCCAGATTTATTCTTATATGCATCACAACGATCCTAATAGTTGTGTAAATAATGCTTCCACTTTTGAGATCGGGCTTACTTTGATGTTTAGCCCTTGCAGACCCTTTTATTTTTTTTTGATATTAAGACTTGGATTTTTTTTAAAGAGAGTTTTAAGTAAAATCTTGATTTTATGATACATAACAAGTTGACAGTAACGGAGAAGATATGTTG